AAGGTCTCTTAAATCAGAGGCATGCATCTGAGACTCAAGAATTAGAATAGGGTTTTGAGGCTATACTACATAACTATGACAAAGACCCTGCCTCCCCCAAAAAAAAACAGGTATAGGTAATTGATTTGCCATCAGTGTCTTGTGTTTCCTCGTTTCGGCGCTGATAGGCTACAAGATAAGAAGACCGCACTCGGGGAAATTTCTTGTAGTATAGCAGTATAGCCTAACATGATTTAGCCCCTAAACAAGAACCCCAGTCAAGCATGAGACTGCCATCCCAAAACCTACCCCTGAGACCAGTGAGGCCAGTGTACTGGTACTGTGGCTATTCTGGCTTGTGCTAATTTGAGTCTTACTTCCCAAGTTCTCACTTAAAGTCAGTGTAGTTAACTCGTTTGGCACAGGAACACTCCCAGCGGGAACCAGCCATGATTTGTTAGAACCACATGTCACCCGAAACCTGGCCCTACCGTCTAAACCCAAACCCATCTCTTGCAAGCACGGTGGATGATCCTAAATCCTGAACCCCAGAAACCCCGAAACCCTCTCTGGGACCCGCAGCCTCCACAGTGCTTCGTCCCCAAGTCCTTGGATCTGCAGGCATGCTCCAGTGAAGCGACTGCATGGCCTCAAGGGAATCCTGCTGCAGGGCTGCGTTTCAGGGTTCCTGTAGGGGTGGTATTGCTCTGTAGAGCAACTACACTCTGTGTGTTGATAGCTGCATCGAAATCAAACACGGGCCGCTAGGCGAGTATTCGTCGAGAGCCTTCACGAGCACCTGTATGTCTCTTGTTATCTATCTTATCTGTATCTCTACCTTTGGTGATACGGTAGTTGGAGGGTTCGGCATGGTTTCAAGCGTTGTCGATGCTGCAGCTCCCTTGACGATGTTAGTAGAACCGAGCCAGGTCTTCGACCTGCCATGCAGGTGACCTGCAGAAAAAGCAGACAGCAGTGTTCCAAACAGATGCTTTCTTGGGGCTCACATAGCTCCAAAGGCAGTGCCTCCTACGTGCACTTCATGCAAACCAACAACTAGTGCAATCTCTTGCTGCACCGCACTTTCCCACATTTTTCAAGCCCGAGCACCCTAGCACCCCGAAGCAGTTCAATCCCACAGACCGGCGCCTTAGGCCGTAAACCCTGTAACATCCAAAGCCCCAAGTCGCCAGGATGGCGGCAAACTCACGGCCCGCCCCAACTGCCCCGAGACAGTGTGTTGGCTTCAAGGCTTCTTTTCCGGGTTTGGGGTTCTGCATATGCAGGACCTGCCTTGTTGTCGCACTATAGGGAAAACTTCGGGCTGCAGAGTGACCCTGCGCTGGTCCTTTCTACTGCGGACCCCGCTATTCGGTTCGGGATACAAAGTCTATAGGGTCCAAGGCCTAGGGGCTTCGGGTGTGGGGTTTACCCAAAGGCTCCATAGTAGTTCCTTTTTTGGATTACCTTATAGGATCCCAAATATGAACCAGAAAAAGGAACCACTATGGAGCATGTGGGTAGAGTTCGGTCCCGAACCGTACCGGACGTGCGCTGTTCCCACGACGATGGCGGCTCAGAGGCTACAGAAGGTAGTTGTTGCATGGAGGGGGCTTGGAAATCCTGTGGCAAACCTATTTAAGCTACCTCAACCCATATAGGCTTCAGAGGTTTGCGGTTTTGATGGCTTAGGGCCATTGTGGGAAAAGGATCGTCGAGATACCCCAAGCAACCCTATTGCTTGCAAGCCACTGCGAACTTATTCGAACTTATTTAGGCAACTGGTGTGCTGGTCAGGCTAGGCCAAGCTAAAAAATCCTAGGCCCTAGGACTCTGTAGGTGCCCTCCACGCATGTTGATGCGAGCTGCAGCCAATTCCAAGGCGCCAGCTTCCGCACAGCGGGATGGGCGGATGATTCGTGACTTTAGAGGAAATCAGGTGGTGATAACTGCAACAATGGTCTTTGATCTACATCTTCGGGACTGTTCCTACCATTGAACTTCCGAACGGCCTCTATGAACTCATCGTCAAGTGAATCATCTTATTGCGGTATTGAAGAGATATAGTCGTGACTGTGACTCTTCGGATTAGCGATTGCTGCGACCAGGGAGTGTCAGGGCTGTAGACCCTGCCGGGCCTGCGGTTCTTTGGGCAGTTTTTGGGCCCCTTGGTTTTGTATGTTCGAGTGCGTGGCTTCGGGGTCGTTTGTTTCAAGCCTCTTGGGCTTCGGGGTTGCAATTCCAACCGGACACCGCGCGAAAGGTCAGAGGCCTGGGCTAGAAACCCCGAACCCCCCAAACCCCCCAACTCCAAACTGTGGCAAGCCGAGGACCCCTTTGCCCTGAACCAGAAGCTTGCAAGCTTCCTAGCTTGAAGCAGGCTTTCGCAAGTCCGCCATTGAACTATGTAGCTCCCACAACTACGCTCTGCTGTTCGGCACAAGCATGGCTTAAGCATCCACTGCCATGGACTGCAGGGCTGTAAGGCGACTGAGCCTCAAAGCGTAGGCCGTTGATTGCGAGGCTCCAGGACCTAGGGTTTAGGGTTTAGGGTTTGTGTGCTGATTGGTTTGAGTTAAAACTGCTCCACAGACGGGTCACACCTGGGATCTGAGGCCTTTTGTGGCGGAAGGGTTAACAACTTGAGATTTTCTGCTTGCCATGGCGCTGCGACGAAGGAGGCAGCGCACAGGCGCCCCTGACCTAGATGTTGCGAGTTCATGGGTTCGAGTTTTCTTGGGCATCCGGTGAGGTTATACCAACATTTATTCAAATGGTGTTTACACAAAAGTGTGTGGCATTGTGGGAGCCCCTTTGGCAATACTTATAAGATCTTAGATGCTGGTCAGCGATTGAAGCTGCACATCAATGTATCATCGGGTTCCGACGCAAAAGAGGCCGTGAGGCCAAATGAGTGAGATCAAGCTTACTTGCCAGAAGCGTTTGTTCGGCCACCGAACATGTCAAACCCGAGCACACCGGAACCCCGACTCTAACCCTATGTAAGCCCTGTGAAAGCCTTGAGCCTTGCAAGCGCTATGGACGGCGGTCAAAAGAAGTGTGCCATCCGGGGTTCCACAGTATAGCTTAGAGTGCTTAAAAGCCCTACTTTTCCTAGTTACTAGTTACTCAGTCCCCTGATCCCTTAAGTAGTATATTGGCCTACATAGTAACCTTCATGACTTCACCCTAAACCCTAAACCATCCTAAACCCTTTTAACTCCCTCCACACGGTTGATGATATAAATCCTGTATAAACCATGATAAGGAATATACCATGATTCCCATAGTTTAGGGTCCTTAAGGTCATGCAGGATTTATATCATCAACATTATGTCTCCTCCAAGTCGAGCCGTCAGGCGCCTTGTTGGCGCTCCTGACTGTCCTGGCCTGGCGGCCGCTGACGTTTGCAGCGCCGGGGAGGAACGAGAAGGACGCCGACTAAAGGGTTACCCATAGGCCCCTAAGTATTTCCTTTATAGTTAATTTTTAGAATCCTATAAGGCAATCCCACAAAGGAACTACTTAGGGGCCTATGGGTAGCCCAGATTTACATTGTTTTTGAGTGGGAAACTCGGAAGTTTGGGGGGTTAAGGGTTAACCCAAATTACCGAATTTTTGCGATTCAGTTTTGCTTTGAGAATGCGGGTTTGGGGTGTTTGGGGGGTTGAGTGCCAGGCCGTTGGGTTGAAGTTCGAAGAGACCCTGCAAGTCCCTTGGTTGGTTGCTACACATTTAGTCTCCGCTGTGGGTTCCTGTTCGGCTAACCAGTTCTTAAGGTGAGGATCCTATGTTACAAATTTGGTTAACCAGCAAAGCGAGTGGCCCTGAGCCCTGAACCCTAAAGCCCAAAACCCTGAGCCCTGAACCCTAAACCCCTATACTCTAAATCCGAAAACCTGAGCAGTGCCTTGACCCCTGGATCCTTCACCTGAGACCAAAAGCCCTAATCCTTTCCCGGGCGCAGGCCAAGATTGAGCCAACCGGGCCGCAAGTACGTTCTCGGGATGTTGAACGTGGGACTTTGACGGTTTGCGGTTGGGCATGGAGGTCTTCGGGTTTGACTGCTTCTGGGTTTCAGGGTGCCGATGTCTTCGAGTTGCAAGGCATTTGTGTGGAGATCATACGGCTTTGTGGGCTGCCACGGGTTGGGGGTTGCATGACCCTGGGGCTCAGGTTCTGGCGATTCTGTGGTCTTTCGGTGTTTCAGCTCAAGGTTCTAAGCTAAGCCAAGCTTAAGCCCAAAACCACCTTTGCCGGCCCGCACAAAACCGAGCAGGCATCAGCCGCAAACTTTTCCCGCAAGCCCTGAAGCTTAAAATCCCAGACCGAGCTGGAGAAACACAAATCTGAGGTTCTACACCATGGACATGCCTCGCGTCGGAAAGGATTCGTTTCTACCTGTTTAGGGGTCTGGGACCCAAACCTTGAACCCCAAACCCTATACCCTATACCCTAAACCGTCTGTGGCTGTCGATCTGCAGCCCAGGGCTTACCAGCTAGGTTCTGGGAGGTTGGGGATTTGAGGTTTGAGGGTTTCGGGGTTTTGGGTTGAGGGTTTTGGGGTTGAGGGTTCTAGGGGTTATGGGTTTGCTTAGGCTTTATAATTTAGTCCAGAGGGTAGAACCAAAGACAACGAAGACCGAATATGCCTCAATCCAGGTAGTCTCATCAGTCGCCTAGCCTAGTACAAAATATGTGCCTTCTTTGTTGCAGCTTCCCGGTCGAGAGATTTATCGAACCGTAATGAACCGCAACAGATGTCAAGCCGTAATTCTGCACGACGTCCGCAATTTGCGATTCTGTCCCTGTTACATATTGACCTCATACCGGCTCCCATTTTCGCCCCATCTTTGCAAGAAAGTGTCACTTAGTAGTACAGTAGGCAGCCTCCTTGTGCTAGGGACCGCGCTCATGACCCGACGTGCTTTATTCTTTTCGGGGTACCATAATCCCTGTATAACTGTAACAGAAAACCTTTAGTTCCCATAGGACCTAGGATGTTGGACAAGTAAGCTGAGGTGTCCCTATGCGCAGAGGACCTGGATAACTCTGGAGGAGAAAGGTGTGCCCTACACTCGCACACTTGCCTCGGGGCAGCATTGCTGTTTTGGGCTAGCCTCGGCTAGCGAGGTTTCCTGGTTGCTCTGTGGCACGTGGTAGATGTCAGGATGTCTATGCCATGGTCTTCCTTATGCATAAGACTGCATTGATTTCACACAATTAAACGCTTGCCTGTTAAATTTCTGCGATTGATATCGCCTCCTGGTGGCACTTTGGGTACTGAGTTCACCACTACAAAGCCTCGCCGGGCAATCTAAACCCTGAAACTTACTAAGGTAAACGTCCGGAATGCCACGGAGCGAGAGTGGTACGTGAAGAACATCAATCCTCTGGGAAAGGTTCCGTCTATTCGTGACTTGACGGACGGAACCGTTCTGTACGAGTCGGAGATCATCAACGATCCGTGCCGGAGCAATTTGTATGTCTGGGTGTAGGTCCAAGCACCTATATAGCATACCCGTTGACCTTAAAGTACCTTTACTACAAGCCCATGCAGGCGAAAGCATAGCCTCCAAGAGGCACATGGATTCTTAGGGCTCTTGATCTGAGGAGTACCTCGAGCAGAAGTTCGATTCTGGACCCGCCTTGATGCCGCCTTCTGCAGCTGGGGCCGCCAAGGTCAGACTCTGGAACCACCACTTGAACAACAAGTGTTTTGGGCCTGCAATGGTAAAAGGTTTGGGGCGTTGCCGAAAAAAGAGGCACTGTTTTATGTGGTCCCAAAGCTCAACTTCAATCCGCTGCAAACCGTGATGCGATCATACGCTTCAGTGCAGACTCTTTTTTTGGAAGAGTCGGAAGAAGCTGAGACAGGTTAGCACCAGCGCATTTCACCTTCTTGATGAACAAGAATGAGACTGCAGTGACTGGGCTGGATCGAAGTCCACACCTTTTCGCAAGATCACACCCCCAAGTGGACAGACTTTATTCTCACTCCGAGTTCAATACCGACTGCTGCCAAAGCCCTAACCGTACCGTGTGACTCGTGTGAGGAGTTTATTTAAATGAGGGTCCCTCTTTAGGTCGTACGGCACCCTTATACTGGAACCTAAAAGGGACCCCAATTTAGAGAACTACCCATGTACATTCTCAAAGACGCAGGAACCGCCTCCAACTGACTTGTACTAGATTGCGTTGAGGCCATGAACAGAAGTTTTCTTCCAAGGCGATGTGAACGAATCCACACCGTTTTGATTTCGGGTTTAATTAGAGGTTTCACTTTCAAGCCACGTGTTCCACCCGTTTCGGGCTTGTCTGGGTTTGGAAAGGTTCAACGGCCCCCTCGCCCCGGCGGAACCCGGTGTTCTTCCCACATGGGTAGTTCTCTAAACTAGGGTCCCTTTTGGGGTCCTTTTTATAAAGGTGCCGTACTATATTTGGGACCTAATCGACATGGCCCGAAATTTAGAGAACTACCCACATGACCCAAAGCACCTTGTCTTGAGTGTCAAGCAATGCTGTTGCAGCATGACTTCCGAAGCCCCATCTACAACGCCCTTGTCTGACTTCAAAAAACCCTAAACCTTAAAACCCCCCTTGAAACAGGTTTTGTGAATCCCTAAAGAAAACCTTTCAAACAGGTTTGTTAAAACCCTAAAGCCCCCTTCAAACAGGTTTTTAAAAGCCCTGCAGTCCCCTTTCAAACAGGTGTTTTTTAAACCCTAAAACCCCCTTCAAAGAGGTGTTTCTTTAAAGAACTCCGCCCTTCAAACCTAGCTCCCCAGCAGGAGCCTCAGAAGATTCAGGCCTTGGAGGAGGCTCTGCAATACTACGAGGAGTCGGACTTTCAGGTTTTGGATTTGGGGCTGTGGAAATACCCGTAGGCTCGTTAGTAGTTCCTTTTTGGGATTACCTTATAGGATTCTAAATATAAACCACAAAAAGGAACTACTTAGGGGCCTATGGGTAGAGAGCCCTGAATCCTTAAGAAGGGTATTGCGGAGGGCTCCCTAGTACAGTTCTACTATGCTATGGCACACCCCTAGAGCCCATTCTGATGACTCAGACCCCTGTATTCGATGGGTCCTTAAGTCAGAACTGTTCACTTGGGTTTGGGGAAAGGCTGGAGTTTTGAGACAATGAGCCGACATTTTTCATTGCATTACATGACATGTTTGGCTTAACTTGGGGTAGGTTGTTGTTGTGCATACGTGTTCTTAACAATCTATATCCCCAACTATCAAGTTAATGGAGTGGAGTGGGTATAAGAAGCCGTCTTCAATCCGAAGGACAATTTGAAGGGCCCCTTCCTGCTTGGGGACGAGTTCACACTGGCCGACGTCAGCACCCGGGCTTGATTGCGTTTTGTGTTGCTGTGGCTTTAGGGAGTCCGGCCAGCGTAACAGATTTGGGGCAGCCCATTGTAGCAGACTTAGAATCCTAAACTCCAAACCCTAAACCCTTAGATCCGAAACCCTAAACCCTTATTCCGAAAAGTAGAGTTGCTCAATACCTGGAGTTCGCAGCACTTTTGAGGATGCGCTGGGAGGGTCTGCTGAAATTTTTGAGTTTCCGGGATGTGGGGGTTTCAGAAGTTTCAGAACATGAGAGATCCCAAACATCGACCCTCAGCCGTCTCCTTATCACGCAGAGCCTTCAATCAGGTATCTCCCCCAAGTTTGAGGAACTCCGGTGGGCTGAGTTGTTTTTGGAGCTCAGAACCCAGAGAGCCCAATACCCCTTAAATAAGGAATATACCTTAAATTATGGGATGATAGGGGCCTTACTATTATGATTTAAGGTATATATTCCTTAATGAAGCGGTATCTTGGGCTCCCTAAACCCTAAACCCAAAACCTTAAAATAATGAAGGGGTATTGGGCTCTCTGGGAAGTTGCAGGGTCTTACGCGTCTGGGCCCTAAACCCTAAACTATATACCCTAAACCCTAAACTATATACCCTAAACCCTAAACCCTAAACTATGTACCCTAAACCCTAAACCCTGCTTCTGGGTGCCCGATGTTTCTTTGGGTTGTTTCATGGTTTGGCGCCTGGCTCCCGAGGTCTGGCCTTTCAGGTTTGGGGGGTGGGGGCCCCTTAGTTGGGGGGAGGGGGGGGGGGGG